GAAGATACCTCTGACATTACTTGCGAATAAAAAGTATACTTTAGATAACTAATATGTGTAAATGAAAAACCAAGATTGATGACATCGCTTCTCCTAAATGTTAGAAACCTATTCATCTTTTTTCTCATATATCCTTCTTTTATTTTATTTTTTCTAATTTCCATTATAATTTTTATAAACATTTATTATTAATTTATTTTGTATTTAACGCAATCCTTTCATTTTTCCTAGCTATTCTTCATTAATTGTTCATCATTCAATATATATATATATGAGAGTAGTTTTTACGGTTTTTACAAATTGGAGTAGTTTTTATTTAATCGCCTCTCTCTCTCTCTCTATATATATATATATATATATATATATATATATATATAAAAGAACAACCAATAACGATAAGGTGGATTCATATATCAAATGTAATATTGATTCTTATTAATTTGATATATAAATATAATTATCGATTCATTTAGCTAACTTCAGTAATTTTAAAAAAGATTATTGTCACCATGCAACGCATGGTGTCAAACACTAGTATATATTAAAGAAGAAACCACATGCAATGACGTGGCCTCTTCTCAAAACAAAAAAATGTTTTATTTTTTTTCTCCTTTTATCAAGCTTCTCCTACCTTAATATTTGTTTTTTATGTTTGATATTCACATTTAAGATCCTTAATTAGGTTGTTTCAACTTCTTCATGTTCTCTCTAATAAGTACTCTTTTAACTCTCATTATTTCTCTCTATTAGGTTATAATTTTTCATCTTCTTTTCATGGTACACCTCTATAATAATCTCTCGATTCTTCATCTCTATTCATGTATAATTTTGTGGTTCATCTCTATGATAACCTCTCTATTAATCTCTCAATTCTTCCTCTCCATTCATGTATAATTTTGTGGTACACTTCTATGATAATCTCTTTATTAATCTATTAATTCTTTCTCTCTATTCAGTTACAAATTTGTGGATGTGATTTGCATTTTTGTTGATTTGAGGTGTCATTCAATAAGACAAATCATAGTATGATTTTTTGCTTATGTAAGTATAATATTTCTTTTTTTAGTCGGAGATATTCACATTAAAGTTGGAATTATGTAGGCATATAGAGTTTTTATATGTGGATAAAGTTACATATGAATCCTTGAAGAAACAGCGTAACATTGTTTAAGAAAAAAATCTTCTCAATTCTTCCTCCCTATTCAGTTTTTGAGATGATTTGCATTTTTGTTTATTTGAGGCGTTATTCATGAAGAGAAATATGATATGGGTTTTTGTTAATGTAAGTATAGTATTTTCGTCTTTTAATTGGAGACATTCACACTAAAGTTGGAATTATACAAACATATGAATCTCTCTATTAATCTTTCAATTCTTTCTCTCTATTCAGTTATAATTTTGTGGAGGTGATTTGCAATTTTGTTGATTTGAGACGTCATTCAATAAGACTAATTTTAGTATGAGTTTTTGCTTATGTAAATTTAGTATTTCGTCTTTTAGTCGGAGAATTCACACTAAAGTTAGAATTATGTAGACATATGATTTTTTTGTGTGGATAAAGTGGCATATGAATCTTTAATGAAATAAGGTAACATTGTTTAGCATAATAATCTCTTTTAATCTCCCTATTCTTCTTTTTTATTCAGTTTTTGTTGATGTGATTTGTTTTTTTGTTGATTTGAGGCGTCATTCATGAAAACAAATATGATATGGTTTTTTGTTGATGTTGATCGGTCTATTGTGATCTTTTTTCTTTTTTAGCATTGAGCTTGGAAATTATTTTCTACTATTTTTAATTCAAAAACAAGAAACCAAATATAATGAGGTGTTATTCTCTAAACATTAGAAACCCATTTTTTTTAGATTTTTGATTTTTTAAAATATTTGATATATGTAAAAGACTTTTTCATCCCTATATTTAAAATATGAAATTCAATATAATACATATCTTTTATTTTACATAGTTTTATTAAAACCTCTATTTTAAGGATTTTTTTTTATATATAAACCAAACTATGAACTATCTAAAACAAATCTAAAAAGATTGAACAAGTCACATGAAAAAATAACAAATCAATCAGACTCTTATATATCTAGAATGGTTATAATACTAGGTATTATTGTCACTTTATGCAATCGCATGTAAGAAAAAAGTGATTTTAATGAGGTTCTTGACTAATGTTGCAAATGAGTATATCATGAACTAATATAAGCAAATTGCAAAAATATTCAACAATTATATCAATGTAAGTAACAACACAATTATTGCTTGGTGAATATAAATATTTTATGATAATATATGTAGAAGATAAATTGATATGTATTATGGTAAAATAATTACTTTAATACACCTCATGATTATAATCAATATTTTCACATATTTTTTTTAATGATTTTGAACCAATTATAAAGTTTGATAT